AAAGAACTTTCTGATGGTTAAATACTTCTGGTTTTATTTGATACTCCCTCTATCCCTAATTACTTGTCAACTTGTCAACTTTTGAATTGACATACCTATTAAGAAATCAATTATTGACATAGTGAGTTTACCATTTTATCCCTATTAATTATGAAGTAGATAGATTAAAAATTTAAGATTTTCAAAGTAATTAATTGAGGGTATAATAGGTAAAATTATTTTGTCCTTTCTTGATTTGTCAAAATAGACAAGTAATTAGGGACAACTATAAAAGGAAAAGTGGACAAGTAATTAGGGACAGAGAGAGTATTTTTGTGCTCCACCAAAAGTTTTGGATATTCGATTTTAACACAAAAACCATACAAAAAGTACAATTTTGAGGCGTCTTTCAAAATGAGAAATCTTGAAAAACCTAAAAGGTATCTCATGTAAAACTGATTATGATGTTGAATGGATTATGGACACGCAGTCTGGAAGACACTATTGTTACTTTGTTGATTGAAAGATGGCAAATTTCCACCAAAGATTGGTTACCTTGCTGCCATTTTTATTATATGCTTTACTTGAGCCGTAGTCTATCAGAAACAACTTTTCTACCTTTATAAGGTAAGGATAAGTCTGTATACACACCATCCTCCCTAGACCTACTTCTACTTCTGGGATTGCACTGGTATGTTACTGTTGTTGTTTGCCTCCTTTGTTTGGTTCAGGGTTAGGGTCACGCTAGCTAAACTATATACTTTCAATTTTACTATGTTACTATTAATACATATGGTTATACCTCTCGAATTTTTTATTTAACGTGTTGACTGAATATGATTTGGTTACTTTGTTGGAGTTACTTGCCCCATTGCCCCCTACATTTGCCAAGAGGAGAATGATTTTAATGTTGTTTTTGGATGAATCTTTACACAGAAAAACAAAGTATAATTTATCATAAAAGTTGATTAGTTAGAGAGGAAAATGGAGAATTATTCACAAGCTCTCTTAATTTTTCCATTCCGGTTGGATCCAAGAGAGGACGTCATACATGCATGGTACATGGATGACATGATGAGGACCAGAGGCTTCCTCATCACCATGAGCCAAAGGAGTTTGTGTCTCTTGACAAGCTTGCCGGTAAAGATCAGGCTAAGAATTATATTTGTATAAATTATCTATGAGGAATAGAAAATCCACCTTTACCACCCATTCAAAAAAAGAAATCGCTAGGTTTCAGGGCAGTTTATCACTTGCGTGATCCCTTCAATACCTTTCGATAAGTTTTTGAGTTCTATGTACAAGGATCTCACATTTGTAAATTCTTGCTAAGTGGATAAATGACTTTTCAGTTAATACTGCTAACCTAATTTGTTGCCAATGTCTTGGTATTTAGGGCTTAGAAATTGAATAGGTGGATATCTTTTTTATGTTGGCATTGGTAGATGAGAATCCTACATTGATAAGGATGTATTATCATTGGTCCAAATTGAACAAGGAATAAAATAATGAACCAACCCTAAGAATGGTTACAAGTTGATTGCTGGTTTTGTCCTGCCTTTGTACTCCCTTCTTAATTACTATGTGAAAAATTTCGGAACTTGGAATGCTCCGCTAGAGACTTGATGCCTACATTTATTGGGACTAATGAGGAGTTGAATAAAATTCGGAAAGATAATGAATATTCATACATTGTATGTTAAAAGTTACAAAATCGAGACCTTTCCTCAGTATATGGATATAAGTCGGTCCTTTTTTTTATTTTTATGAGTACTAAAGCTTTAAGGATTCATAATTTGCTTTAGGATTTCCTTGAGGTTTGCCCTGAGAAACTATTAAATTACGAGGAGAATATCAAGAGCTTTTTGTATAGAACACTTCCATACCAATTAGGAGATTTGTTATTGTATTGTAGGAAGTGGTTTGATGTTGTTTATTGATTGGATTTTGCTATTCTGCTTTCCAACTACTGTTGCTAAATATATACTTTTGACCTTCTTGGTGTAATGTGAATGAGAGCTGGATTTACATCTGGGTAAAGAAAGGTGGAATGATTGTGCTTCCTACTGAAATATATTACCGCTTCACGCTTAAATGACCTTAATTCTACTTTTTTTTGTCGAAGATTCACGAAGAATACATCAGGTTTGGCTTCTATGTATGTATATTATTTACCCTCGCATGTATGTGAATCAGTGAATGTTACACTTCGCATCCAAAAGCATGATACTTCGATGGATATATTAAAAGTACATCTGGTAGCCACACTACATTCCAGAGCGTGATATTTTGTACGTAATGTAGGTATATAATATGCAACAATTAATATCTGATGTTTTTGTTATCTGATTTGGCAATCACTTACATGCATCAATTTCTCCACTAATATTAGTGCTCTGCTCCTAAAGTTAGTAAAGCAGGGGAAGCATAATTATGATTAATATTTATTTTTGGTTTAACCTTGTGAGACAATGAAAGTTGATAAAGTTTGGTTACTGACCTAAACAATGCGACTAATGTTGCACGCTGTTGTGTCACTTGAACCATGCCCGACTCATCATGAGTTGCCGAGAAAGTAAACATTTACCTCTACAAGTTTGTGTAAGTCAATAAATGTGGAATAATATAAATAAAAAGCATTTAAAGACCAAAAGTCCACCAATCTAAACGTTTGCTTAAGAGTTTGAATTGACTAAAAAGGTGGTCAAATCTACTTTTAGATCATTTTAAATTTTTGGGAGTGTTTGATAAAGTAAAAATAACTTGAAATAAATTTTAAATGACTTAAAAAAATTTAAAAGTAGGTATTCATCCACTTCCATTTTTCAACTCAAAAGCTACTTAAGTTTAACTTTCTAAAAACTATTTTCAAAGAGCTTCTTTTTTTAAAGTTAAGTCAAATGGGCTTTTAAATTAATTAAATATAATAATTCCAACTTTTACAATATTGGATTTGTGTTACAATCGAGTACCAAACAACGAGAAATCATATTCCAAATTGCAATTTTATAATATTGAGTTTGTGCCAACAGCGAGAAATCACGTTCTAAATCGCAATCTACCAGCACTAAACAATGACAAATCACTTAGAACGCAAATTCGTTAGATATTTATCAGAAGGGCCAACTTATTTTTGTTGGCAAATTCTAGCTGAAGTTAATTGCTAATTAACGTTAGCGTGTTAACATTTGTAGGAATAAGTTCGTGGTTACACGCCCAACTATCCCAAATGAAGTTCATGTCGAAGATAATGATGTAGTTAGAGTTGTCAAAAAGGGTTAGCTCAGTCCCACCTGGTCCAAGTCTCGCGGGTCAAGGAATTTGAGGGGCTAGGGTGGATCGATTTTTTTCATTTGGAAGGGCTTGGAAATGTTCAACCTAGCCCAACCCAACCTTACCCTAGAAGGGTCGCGGGCTGGGGCAGTCTAGCCCTTTTTTCTTTTTTTTTCAAACTTAAAATTCTATGACATCAAGAAATGAGAAGATTTTCAAATCAAATATGACAAACAATGTTGTTGTTTCAATATCACTAGCAAAAAATCTAATGTGATTAGCATGTATCTAGGATATTAGATTCGCGAGATGCATGTATTTGGTGTGATGTATCCCAGATACGTGAGCGTGATAAGAGAGTAATGAACGATATCGGAGGGAGGCGAGGGAGTGGGATTTGTCAATGTATCCTAGACACATGTGAATCCACTTGGATAAAGTGTATATAGAAAAATTATACCTAATTTTGAGTCCATATATACTGAGATACATGTATTTGGACACACCAAAATCTGGTAAAATTCATACTATTACAACATAGCATGCATCTAAGTAATTAGTTTATACACTAGTGAACTTTCTATAAGATACCCTTAAATGAATAGCTTTGGCCCATGAGCCGATCCTGACCCGTCCCCGATCAAGCCTCAAGGGTCAAGGGCTTATACGGAACGGGATTATAAGCCCTAGTTTTAAATCGACTTGAAAAATTTCTATCCCAACCCTACCCTAATAAAGGGTTGGGTGAGGCGGTCCCCATGGGCTAAGCCTATTTGACGGCTCTAATGTAGTACGGACTTTACTTGCAGAGAAAGGGTTGCTACAAAATAAAATTCTTAATTTAAATAAGAATCTTTGGAAAGAGATAAAGAGAGTAAAATATATTGGATCCGTGACATATAGATAATTACGATAAAAAAAAATTAATTGACTCTTCAAATATCATATGAGCCACGTAATCTTTGACAAGGTAGTAAAGACATTTCCAAAAATTGAATAGACATTTCCAATACTTTTTATATTTGCAAATTACGTTAAAATTACTATAACTCACTTTAATTAACAATTTAAAATAATTTATAAAATAATAAAAGTTACGATCAAAGAAAATTGTATTGACTATCAAAATTATATATGTATACTGTATAGCATTAATTGGGATAGAAAGAGTATCATACATTGAGTACGTGCTGTAAAAAAAAAGTATGTTAAAAAAAATACTAACTCTCCAAATTTCATAAATTGAAAAGGAGGAAGTAAAGACATTCCAATAATTAAAAATACATTCATAATAATTTATGTATTTGTGAATTTTTTATACTTGCCAACAAATAAAAAATTTAATTGACTTTCAAAATTTTATTTGTATCATATAAATTAAAATAAAAACAATAATATATGATGGGCTTGTATTGACAAGGGCTTCATACAAGGAGGAAGGTCGCGAGGCAAAGTGATTTTTAGGAAAAACAGTGGGCCCATTCCAAATCCATGTCCATTTTTCTGTCATGAAATAAAATAATAAAACGAAAAAACCCTAGAAAATTTCTTTCCAATTAATTACGTCATAAAGGAAAACGCCGCTCCAGGGACCTGTTCATCTACCTCGGCTAGCAAACTCCCACCGTCGACAGTCCATCAGTCCACCAGTCCACAGTCCACAGTACACAAACACGGTGAGACGCGACACAATTAGCAGAAATTTCTTCGTTTTGTGTTTGAGACTATTCCAATTCCATTGCAGCAAGTGATCCAAATCGCGCGGACGCATTTGGTCTGATTACAACAGGTATTCATCTCCGTCGTAGTTGTTACCTTACTGGGAAAAATACCTACTATATCTTAATAAATATAGATTTAAACTGCATATTATTGTTATGTTTTTTGGTGTAATCAATTATTCGACACTGTATCTACAATTGATCTTTAGACACAACATAGACTGAAAAAAAGTAGAAAAGGTAACATTTGTAAATGGTTTTAGTACAACCTGTTACTGTTTTGTGATATATTACAAAGTTACCTATTTCAACAACATTATATATGCCAAGTAATCAAAGAATTGCTATTTTCATTTATCTTTAGATTACAGTCGGCTCTATTACTATGCAACTGCAATGCAATAAATAAAAGATACCATTAGTTCCTTATCAAAAAAATAAAAGATACCATTATTCATGGTAATCTCACAACATATTTACATAATATGAAAATATTAAATGAGTGTCACAAATATGCACCACTATAAATGGAAATATTAGTTATGCAGAGATTGTAATCCATAGAATAAAGGGGTTGTTATGTGGTTGCTAATAAAATATTTTTTTTGATGAGTGTGGTGTCCGGGTTAACTTTTGTGCACCTCGACTAATTTCACGAGATACTTGCCACCTCCCACAAACAACAAGTACCAGGTAACTTTGTCGACCAAGGCTAGGACAAATGAGAAGAATGACCTAGTGTTTTTTTGTAGTTTTCAACCTGAGACCTCATGGTTTTCAACCACTTCATTGACCACAAGGCCACACCTTTGGATGCATGTGGTCATAAACATTTTAACAATTGTTATACATGAATTACTTATTTTAGTGGAGTGGTCTTGCATTTAAGTAGTTAATACCTACATTGCTAATTTAGTAATTGAGTTTACACAAAATAGGAGCCAGAAAATGAGTAAGTCGAATTTGAGAAAGTACATTCCAAGGGCACCCAAGGGTGTGGAATTAAACACAAACGTATTAAACACTTATTTTGATAAAGGTAACAGTGATATTTATAGAACACTTTGTAGCATCACATTAGTGTTATAGGGAATGACACACTAAAGTGTAATACAGGAAAGATGACTGCTTTTGCCTTTGCAGTCTGTAAAATTAGAAGTTTTTGTCTAAACTTCGTGGCTACTAATTAGTATTTGATAATTGTTACAGGTGATTGTGATCGTTGTGGAGATATGATCTCAGTGCAAAAATGTGTTATTAATTTTGAAGGCAATGAGGTCTCAGAAGCATCTAAAATGAGCATTTTAACTGGTGAAAAAACTGAAACCAATCTTCCAAATCAATTGAAAGTTATTTTTTGTCAAGATTTAAATGGAAGTTTGGATGGGGTTGGCTCAGCAGATGTTTGTGATTATACTTGTCATAATGATGGACGATTTGGGGAGGTGTCACAACTTTGTACAAGATACTAAGATGGGATCTCCGGTTTGAACACTGATCAAGCTGCTACAGCACTCAGGGTGCTGATATTCGTTCATTTTGTATATTTCACTGATTTTGAAGGTGTGCATCTGATTATACCTTGCTGTAACTTTGTTATCAACTTCAGAAAAGTGCTAAGTGCGAAAGTGTAAGACCTTGGAGGATATGTACAATGCTTAGTATAATTTTAACGAGGATGATGATGACAGTGACCGAGAACCATCAGAAAGGCAAATAGAAGTTCTGCAGTGGTTATGTGTCAATCGTACCGTGATCAATGTCGAGGATGTTGACAATTGTGAAGTAAGTTGTTTATCTTTTCGGCTATTCTCTTTGTGCTCGTTTAGCATGCCCAGTTCCCTTCTGTTTTTTAAGCTAAATTAATTCGGAAGTTTTCACTTATTGTTGACATTATATATTCCACGGTTTATTAATAGAATACTGCCTATTCAGGTATGCGGAGAACACAATGAATCTGGGATACTCAGGCATGGATTTTTTTGCATCTCCATATCTGCCTGTAGAAGATGTCAACCAAGATGAGTTGCTGTAACTGGAAATCTGGAGGTTGGTAGTAATTTACATAACAGGACATTATATTTGCGCTTTTGATTGATTAATAAATGATTTTTTTGTGCAATGAACTTTATCTTGTATAGTTGAAGTTTTATCCCGTTATGCGAAATATGCCAATATGGAAGACTTCCCTTGCCCCTAGGATAGTCACAAGGAATATCAGTGTGGATGATTGTCAATTGATCATGTTAGTTTTGACATTAGTTTACTGGTGCAAGGCATAATGTTTTGGAAGTTCAAGTCCATTATGTATCTGCTATCTTATGGTTGAGCCCTCACCTTTTGTGTTGTCTCCTCTCCAATGTGGTACCCCTATTTCTTGGTTCCATTTGGTTTACCCCCTTTTCAGATAACCCATGACTGCTAAGAAAGGTCAAATATCTGGATATGTAGAATGGAAGTCCAAAATCTAAGAGTTAGCTTATAAATATAATCTCATAGTCAGGAGTCATTGTTTTGAAATACTTCTGGAAGTGACTAGTTGTTTATTTTATTTCAATTGTAAAGGTTGGTTAGAAAGACCGAGAAAGATGTTAGAGTGCATTAGAAAAAAAATAATGCAAGCATTACTAATACACTCTACTCATCATTATTCTTATACCCCATATCAAATGACCCTTTATATTTTTGTTTGTAGGTTCCTCTTTTTTGGTATAACTCTTGTATACGACAAGTTGACCTTGTTTTATCAATGAAACTTTTTGCTTGATTAAAAAAAGTAAAAAATAAACAAACAAATTACATAATTGTAATAGTTGGGCAGGTTGTGTTATGACCCATTATTTATCATTTTATTTTTATAATGGTAACTACCCATTATTCATCATATTTTTATCCAACCTATCGCAATCCAATAAATTTTTTGGTTGGATTGGACATTGACCCATTTAATTGATTCAATCCATTTTGACCGGCCAAATTTAGTCCAAATTAACAATTTGCCATTTTAGCTAACTAGTAGTTTCATACATTTGCAAGCTCAACGTCCACTATGGTAGAGATAATTTTTTATGTGGAGATTGTAATGCATGGATTGCTTATGAGGTAAATTAATAATAAAGAGATTGTTATTGAGTGATTAATAGTTTAGAGGTTGTTATACATTAATTAATTACTTTGAAAGAATGTTTTTGTCTTTAAATAGTTACTATCTACATTGCTAATGCATATATTTTTATTCCACATTCTAATCAACAAAATAATACTAACCGTTAATGGATGTTTTATAATCCCAATACAAAAGATTCCACCATCTCATAGAGAGCTAGCTCAGGTGTAACATGTATATGCACCAATCTCCCTAGAGTTGGAACCATGATAGAACCTTAATGAGTGAATGAGTGTTCTCTTTGACCCATCACTTTCATTGTTCACTAGTTTAGAAAAGGCTTCAACTAATTTAGACAACTCATAATATCATAAATATTAAAGATGAAACAAACAAAAAAACTTACTTGATTTCATAAAAACTCCAAAACCTTCTATTTTGTGGTCTAAACCTTCGTATAACTGAATGACTGAAAATTAACGACAACTGACTTAATAACAAAGACAAGAATTGATCATATTAAAAGATTCGATCATTGGTTAAGTCTTCTCCAAGCATAACTCCAATTTCAAGAAATCCAATTACCAACTCCATGATAATTATTTCAAGAACTCTCCCTTTTTTCTGGTTCAGGGGCAACATTTAAATCAAACTTGAAATGCTCGATTAAAGTAGCACTTTTTGTTTCTTCTAGAATTCCCCTACCCGCAACTTTATTGCCAACTTTTGCTCCTCCATGTGTTTATCTGGAGTATTTCAGAGCCGGGGTGCATAACCTTATACATTAGTATTCGTTTGTTTTCTTTCTCGTTCCATGCTTTTAAATCTTTATGGAGATCTTCCAATGCCTTAAAGCCATTTGATTTTCCCTCAACATAATCACGTTGACGATTCTCTAGTTTCATTTTGAAAAATTTATCAATTATTTCTTCTATACTTGTGGAAAACACGAAAACCATGTGTTTTTCACAAGTATATAGAAGAAATAATTGATAAATTTTCAAAGTGAAAGTAGAGGATCGCCAACATGATTATGCTTAGGGCAAATTAGATGGCTTTGAGGCACTGGAGATCTTTGTGAAGAATTACAAACATTTAATGAGAAAAACGAATACTAATGTATTAGATTATACACTCTGGTTCAGAAACACCTCATGATAAATATATGGAGGAGCAATATATGGAGCAGTAGAAGCTGGCCATTAAGTTGCAGGTGGAGAATGATAAAGAAGAAATAAGGAGGTGCTATTTTGGTCGAACATCTCAAATTTGATTTAATTGTAGTCTTTGAGCCAGAAGAGGAGAGCTGTTCAACTTATAATTAACATAGATTTGGTAGTTGGTGTTCTTGAAATTGGAGAATACCTTACCAATGATCGAATCTTCAAATTTGGTCAATCTTTGTTTTTATTATTATCTCATCCATTTATACGAATTGTTATACATTAATTACTTATTTTAGTGGAGTGGTTTTGCATTTAAGTAGTTAAAACCTACATTGCTAATTTAGGAATTGAGTTTACACTAAAATAGGAGCCAGAGAAAGAATAAGTCAAATTTGAGAAAGTACATTCCAAGTGCACCCGAGGGTGTGGAATTAAACACAAACGTATTAAACACTTATTTTGATAAAGATAACAGTGATATTTATAGAACACTTTGTAGCAGCACATTAGTGTTATAGGGAATGACACATTAAAGTGTAATACAGGAAAGATGACTGCTTTGGCATTTGCAGTCTGTAAAATTAGAAGTTTTTGTCTAAACTTCGTGGCTACTAATTAGTATTTGATAATTGTCACAGGTGATTGTGATCGTTGTGGAGATATGATCTCAGTGCAAAAATGTGTCACTAATTTTGAAGGCAATGAGGTCTCAGAAGCATCTAAAATGAGCAATTTAACTGGTGGAAAATCTGAAACCAATCTTCCAAATCAATTGGAAGTTATTTTTTGTCAAGAT